CGTTTTCGAGGTCTGTCGGGAATCGATGGGGGTCTCTCGGGCGCGTCCTGGAGGCGCCCTGGAAGGCATGGGCGGCACGTTGGGAGCCGCAATTCCCAAGACAGTGCCCTACCACCCGTTATGGCATCCTCTTAAGGCCCTCTTGTTGTTTGCCAGCGTGCCAAGCCTCATGAGGTGCACGCATTGAAACGTCCATGGGAGCGAAGGAAAGAGGAAGGATACATGCTACCTGCACGCGGGCAGGAGCGCTTGTAAGCCTTCGTCGAAAGCCATTGCTTCGGCCTCGAAGGCGCCGCGACAACTGTGCACGCGGGCGCCTCCAGCGCCGACGAGGATTCGTCCCTCGGTGGACAGATCGAAGAAGGAACTCGCTGCAACGCCGCGCTCGGCCGCAAAATTGCCGCCGCAGCAAAGGATGAGTCGTCGTGCTTTACCGGCGCAAAACGTCGCCAACAGGAGGCCGCTCCCATGGCGTCCGCATATCTAAAACGTGGTTGGCAATATGGCCAGCTACGTTGTTGTATTACGTGGGCCTCCACCGGACACGAGGGGCATGCCCCCGCGTCGGCAGCCAACCGCGTTCGCTTAGAGCGGAGACACTCCTCATGATCCGTAAGAATACTGGCCGGACGAGGTCGTCAACCAAAACCGCACTCCCATCGACAAGATCCGCCGCGGTTATGTTGTCGACCCGCGTTCGGGGTGAAGGTTCAAGTACGGGACGTCGCCCATGGCGTGCTCGCGGAAATCGCTTGGAACCCGGCGTGAGACGCCATGCAGCGCAGACAGCCGCGGGAAACGCCATGCAGCGCAGACAGTGTCAGAGAAAGCCCCGTACTGGGGCATCCACTGCGTCATGGTCTCGCACTGGTCACGCATGAACATCTACTAGGATCCGAAAGCAAAACAGAAAGGCGCCTCCCACGGGGTGCGACCAGAACCCAGAGCCCAGTGAGCGCAGCCTTCGCAAAGACGGCGTCTCTTTGGATCAAGGGCGCAAGTTGCTCCCCATTCCAACTTAGCGCGATGAAGCCTGGCGTTGCGGAGAAGGTCGGATTTGTCCGAATTGTCGTGCTAGGCTGACTTGCAGACTGCCTTCAGGATCCTCAGATGCAGCGGCTCCAACGCACATAACTCAAGCCACTTATGAACTTTCATCGCAGCGCGCTGTAGGTAGCTCGATCGGCCTTCGTCAGGTATCCGATGGAGCTTGAGACACCGGCGCGCGTGATCAAGTTCCCAAGATCAAACCCGTCGCAATAAACTCTGGTTCGAATGCCAGGTAGAGCATACAAAAACCGCAGAAGTGACAGGCACCCGCGTCCAAGCAGCCTGCTTTGACTTGAGAGGAGTACCTGACGACAGTGCGCGTTGAAGCAATCGACAGCATGTGTGTCCAAGTTTGCGCCGCGCCAGTCGCGTCCACAAACGTACCCAAAACTAGTGGCTGGTGCATGCCGCTCCCGTTCTGGTGGACGACGAGGGGCGGCATAGCTTCGCTTTCAGAAGCCAGACCGACTAACTACTGCAATGATGACGGCTTCCACTGAAACCCGAGTTGCGCTAAGGCGGCATTTAACTCCGTGGTCGTGGACCTGATGTGCTCGTGGCGAAACGCGAATATCAAGATGCTGTCGGCCCAAATGACGTGTGTGAACACAAACCCATCCAAGAGACGGAAAACGATGCCCTTTGGAAACCCATGCGGTGACAAGCGGTTCCATGAGGGTCTCCGGGATGAAGTTCCAGATGCCGGAGAGTTATACTGCGCCTTGTTTGCCTCCCCGCGTGTGCGGAAAGCTCTCCGTAGCGCCAACGCCAACGATCCGAATTGTCGCAGGAACGCCAGTGAACTCACGCATGGGCGCCGCAGCAAAACCAGATTGAAAGCCACGTGCCTTCAGAACGTCGCACATCGTGTCGTGTTTCATGCAAACGAATGCTGTCGCAACATCATGGGCGGCGCAACGAAGAGAAAACCCCCACGCATCCGATATGTAGAACAAATGTTGTACCAATAATGATACGTGCTCCGGCCTGCACCCCTCCTTGAATCCGAACGTCTGGACGCTGCTTGGGCGTGGCTGGTGTAACACGGATGGCCGCATAGATGTCACGTGCCATCTCTGCAGGACGCTCGTCGTGCCGATCCAGCGGAAATCGCCGAAAATTGTGATGAACTTCTCCCTGGGAAGGACTGAATCCAACGATTTTTTAATAGACTGAATCCCAAAAGGTCCCGAAGGAGGCTCGAGCAAGGAAGAGATTCCAAATGTGCAGACAGCAGTCCATGGCGATGAAATCAATACTTCATTAAGAACGCCATCGGGGCCCAGTCCGGATCCGGGCCAAAGCATTGCCTCCGCCTGCATGGCGTCCAAAAGTTCGATCGCTGTCTTCGAAGAGCCATCGGTGACCTCGTGGCGGTGCACGGCCAAAGACGTCTGTAATCGATCGAATTGCTTGCTAGTGGTGTTGCTGGTATCGGAAAACCGAGCACCCCCAAAATGGCACGCATGTTGGAGCCACTGCTTTCGGTCGGCAGTCAGGCGCCCATCCAGCTGCAATCATGTGGGCATCGTGGAGCATCGTGACCGTGACAGCGACAATGTTTTCAACTTCTGGTTGGCTCGTTGACTGCGTTTGTTGGGCCGTTCGCGATGCAAGGCGCGAGCCTGGTGACGAATGGCTGCTGACGGTGAGCCACCTGGCGAAGCACTTGTTGCGGGTGTTGGTACATGTTCGTCATCCCGAGACTGTTCCAATGCTCTCTGGCCCGTCACGTGTTGAATGCTTTGGGCGAGATGCCGCAATCGATCCTCCAAATCGTCCAACGCAGTATCAACAATTTGAAGAGACACGCTCGCGTTTTCGAAAAAAACAATGCGACGTCGTCGGCCGGTCGCCAACCGCATAAAAATCTCTCCTTTGGGTCTATGAACGATGAGTGGAGCAGTGCCAGATAGTTCAGCGACCACAAGTCTATGATCAAATCCTCTCTCCCATGCTGGGGGCAAGTGTCGGATAGCATGCGCCACGCCTTCGAGATGTCAAGATGTTGCTATGTAGTCAATCTGGGACCTCTTCGACATATCCTGGCGGATCCCACACGTCCAAAGGTCAGCAGGGTCTCGCGCAATACCGAATGTGTTAAGAGCTCGTAGACGTAGAGAATTCAAGCAAGACACCACAATACGTTCCATTCGGGGATGGACAGACCTCCCTTTAGTAAAACGTGGTTTAGTGAAAACGACCTCGGGCCCACACCTGGCGTGCGCAAGCCTGGAAAATAACGGCCACGGCGCCCTCTCGAGAACCGAAAACGGACAATTCACTAATCGACGTGTCACTGTTGGGGGTTCTGTCCACCCCCGTTCCATGGCTCCCGAATGAGATCGTATTTCCGGTAGCACATTTGATCCAGAAAAATTCCGACGGTAGATCCAGCGAGGGCAACGGTCGAGTCGAAGCCAGCAACTGAGGGTAAGAACATCCCATTGTACTTACGCCGCCACCGTTCCACGTATGAAGAGATTCGTACATAATGTGTGAGGAGATGCCATCCTCGGAAATGTGGTCGAGAAAGTGGGGGGCAAGAATAACGTTTTCTGTATAAGCAGCCCGCTCCAATGGGCATCACGCACCACGTCAGAGATGTACAGAACCAGGCTTCCAGTGTTTTCATGACAAGCTCCCATGGTTACCCATACTTTCATGACAAGTATGTTTATCTGTGAGTATGTCTCCCTCTTGATCGAGATGCGCTGCCGACGGAGGCATCATCAATCAGCAGGTAATCGGAACACCGGATTGCCCCGGAACTTGCATCGAATCGGTCTGCATAGGACGCATGGAGTCGGTACTGGATCGGGTCGGCGCTGCGCTAGAATGCAAATCAACTTCATGCAAGCATCGATCACCAGTTTCTCGTTCGAAGAGCGGAATCGAAGCAGATCGGACTGGCGTGGGTCGATATCGAATCGTATCGATCGGATCGAAATGGAATCCTGCGTCGGCCGCGCCGTCCGTCTGAGGAGAAACAGAGACCACCGCCACCGAGAACCCATCGGGGAGTGCCGACCCCTGGGGAGGTTGCACGCCCTGGCGTCACCCCGGGCCGGCGACGCTCAGGCGTGCCACCGCCCAAGGGTGTGGGTCCCCTCTGATGGGTTCTCGATGGCGGTGCCGCTTCTCCTCTCCAAGTCGCCGCGTCGCCGTTTTCAGGTCCGGAGAGCTCCCACGGTCGGGCGTTGGCAGACCTGGGTTTAGCGGAACCTGGTTTAGTGATTTGTACCGGGGGCGCCCCCCCGTCCCATTTCCACTAACCGGAACTGCCGTCACCAGTCGGGGGAGCGTAAGACCCGGGTTTGCCGGGACTCGGGTTCGCCATCGTTTTTTGACGACCGCGACTCGGATTTTGACGAGGAGGAGTTTCGTGGGATGTCTGCAGCGGGAGGCCTCGTCAAAATGCAGGCTCGGCCTCGTCATTTTTTTGACGACCTCGTCGGGGATTTCCGAGTCCCCCGTACCCGGGTCTTACGTCTCCCCGAACCAGGTACGGCAAACCTGGTTTAGTGAATCTGGCAAATTGAGGGGCCCCAAGGCCCTACCACTAACCAGGTCCCCTGACCCGGGGTCCTGGCTATACCCGACACGGGGGCAGGGCGTAGGGGGCCAAGCCGACCCTCTGCGTCGAAGCACTCCTCCGAGAGCTGGAGCCAGGGCCAAAAACGCCAAGGGCCAGCCCAGCCCCCTCCGCCCTATAGTTATGTCGGGCGTGTCCCCCTACAGGGGGATTTTCGACGAAAAATAAAAAGTACCCCCAAAATACCCCAAACAAGTCAAACAATACTAGAAAAATGGTACCTGCACTATTTCCGTTTTTTTTGTATATTTTTAAAGTATTGTTTATTTTTCGTCGAAAATCCTCCTGTAGGGGGACAGGCCCGACATAACCCGATAGCCCCCTGGAGAGCCCTCGGGGCGAGGGCCCCGTGAGCCTTTCGCTGCACAGGGTGTGGTCCAGGCACGCGGGGGCCGGAATCGTCAGGTAGTCCCAGGTCGTCGTCTCCGTCTCCAGGAAGACGGTCTCAACGCTGAGGGCGTCCCTCGCGCGAGGCTGGGGCTTAGAGATGCCGTATTCCCCCCCTGGGAAGCTCGTCTCGGCGATATACGTTGGGCGGCGTCCTTCCTCGAGATGGGGTGCGTCCAGATAGTCCCCCGGGGTGCGTATCCCCGAGCCTCCCCTCTTCTCTACGCGATTGGTCTTGTTGGGGGAACTCAGGGATCGGCGGCGAGAAATCGCCTGCGAAGATAGTGGGAAAACCAGAAGTGGTACCGATACTGCTACCCCAGCCCTCGGGCCAGATGTGGGTACCGGTACCAGTACCGCTAGTGGGGAAACCAGACAAAGAACCGGGACCTCTCCCGGGGAGGCCTTCTGACTCGGATTCCAGCGGTGGCGACGAGGGCCTCCCAGGAGGCCCAACACGGGGAAAAAGGGCTAGGCTGTAGAGGTCAGAGTGAGGGGGCCGAACGGTCATTTATTGTGCCTGGGTGCGTGGCTGAAGTGGAAATCCGTGGTGAAGATTCTGCTTGTTGGGTTGTTGTTGTCGTTGTTGCTTGTTGTCGTCGTCCCCCCCGCGACCCACCCGCGACCCAACCCAGCGACCTACCCACCGACCCACCCGCGACCCACCCCGCGACCAACCCGCGACTCACCCCGCGACCAACCCGCGACCAACCCCGCGACTAAGCCGCGACCCAACGCAACCCACCCGCGACCCACTTGCGACCCACACGCGACCCATCCCGCGACCCATCCCGCGACCCACCCGCGACTCACCCGCGACCCACCCGCGACCGATCCACATTGGTTTGAAGAAAAACTTGGCGCCTGCGGCGGGCTCATTGCATAATTTGTCAAAAACTTTGGCGCCTGCGGCGGGTCCCTCCAAAGTCTCGCAGACTGCCGACGTCCCCACCGCCCCCTCACTCTTATCCGCATCTGCGGGGTGCTGCGTACGGGTTCATGTTCCTCCTCCGAGATTAGGGATTCGGGGCCACTGGGGCCCAAGTCATATCCTAGGTCAGCATTGCGCCCCGTGATGCGCAGCGGCCAATCACCCTCGCGCCCAATGAGCGAATTCTTATTCGTCGGTTCGACATTGGGTGGAAGCGGGGGGGAGAGGGGGGGGGGGTCTGGCTCCGGACCTCTGCTTGGTGCGACTGCCTGGAACCGTGCGTCCTGTGGGGGAGGCTCCGCCTGCCCGAAGCAGGCGCCAGAGACAGCCAAGATCTGCTCCGTGCGGGGGTGGGAAAAGGGGGCGGTGCGAGGGCCCGCGCCGATCGGCAGACCACGGAGTACAAGCACAAGACCACCCGCCCTGTAAGAGTGAGCGGCGCGCCTCCCCTAGGGAGAGCTTCGCGTTATAAGGATGTCTGAGGGCCCTTGAGGGCGGCCTGGGCTATCGGAGGAGGAGGAGGAGGAGGAGGAGGTGGAGGAGGTGGAGGAGGTGGAGGAGGAGGAGGAGGAGGAGGAGCCCCCCTGCATCAGGCCGGCATCCGTGGCCCAGGCCGCGGCGCCCGAAGCGCGGCTCGCTGCGCGCCCCCCCCCCGCGGGCGGCCGGCGCCGGGGGCGCGAAGCGTGTCGCGAGGGAAGCGCCTGGCGAAGGGGCCGAAGCCAGCAGCATGCACACAGCACGACGCGTGATCCCCCTTCCGCCCCAAGGGAAATCGTATTACATCATGAAGCAAGGGACTCCCCTCCCTTTTGCCCGACCCGACCCCGAGGCTCAGGTAGGGCCTGCCCCTCTACGGGAGGAGTATCCAAGGGTGGTTCAAAAATACTCTGGGGACATTCTGTTGAGGATTTGTGGATCCCTGTTGTTCATATTTCAAAGATGTTTAATATGTCCTCCAAAATCCGCCTGTACTGGGATGACCGTGGGGGGTTCTAAGTGGATAGGGGGGTTACAAGTGGGGCACACCCTGGCTTCTAAATGGGCCACAGTACAAATACCACAAATAGGTTAAGGGGGTTAACTATCCAGGCTAAGTGGGCTGCGCCTACTTCGCGGAGATATCTAACCCCCGTAAGCCGCTCGGGGAATGCGTGACCCACTTGTGAGCCGGGTCGGGCCAGATATAGCCCACCTCAGCACTCGCTTGCATCCCCCCTGTCCCCTTAGAAACCGCCATGGCCTCTCCAGTGGGAGGACACGCCCGACCTAAACCCGAGGCCCAGCTCGAAGCCACACCCGCAACCCCTGTGTGCGGACCGGGGGGGGGGGGGGCAGCGGCACAACCCACTACATGTGAGAAAACTATGGCATCTCAGAATGAATGGTCAAAGATCCAAATCTCTGCAGAACCGACTCCAAGTCACCAGATTGTCTCTTAAGGTCGGATCTTGCCAACTAGCTCCACCCTGTCCAAAGAATTATCAGAGAAAGAACAGTTTTTCAGCCCGGGGCCTCGAGAGCCCGAAGGGGTCCTTGAAGGTCTCGAGCAGGGCCAGGATGAACATGTAGAAGATGGTGGTGCATATGGACGTGACGGTCGAGATCACGACGCCCTGCTCGAGCACCAGCCTACGGTCGTCGAGGTCTGGGGAACGAACAATGACACGAGTATACAAACTCGGAGGTCCGCGCGGCACTGTCGGATCGGCGCTGGGGCCCCCTGGCGGCGCCTCCGGCGCCGCCCCTGGTGCGCTCCGCGCGCCAGGGAGGGGGGTCCAGCTCCGATGAGACAGATCCGCGCGGACCTCCGAGTTGTTATGTCTATGTCATTTTTCGTTCCCCTAGAGGTCCACGAGGCGCTGGAATGGGATGGTGTAGACCCAGGCAACGACGAGTGTGTACATAAGCCCCTCGAACGACAGCGGTGCTCTCAGCTCGCACGCGTCGTGCAGGCCTGCCATCGTGCCGCGCAGGGCGCAGAGCTTGTCCAGCACCAGGGCCCGAACGCGGACGTCCCTCACGTGGTACCCGACCCAAGTAGAAAGCCACTTTAGGGGTGTCTTTCGCCCATGCGCGCATTCAATGATGATCGCCTTCTCTGACGGTTCCAACAACCCGGCCACTACAAGATCATCCAGCTCGATCAGCTTGAACTCTGCAGACAACGATCTGTAACACATGATCCAGCTCAACATGAGGAACCGGTAGAGATTCCACTTGGCCTCCATCCACTGCTCCCTCTTGGAGGCATTCCCGGCTTGGGGGTACTCCCTCACAGCAGTGTAGCCACCAATGATTAGGGCAATGTCGTGTGTCCTGCCCTGCATGCTCCTGCAGCAATCGATCACTGACCACCACCAGCCCACCCTGCCAAGAGCGTAGAACGAGAACAGTATTCCCACTGAAACCTGTAGCGCGCTTGACAGGCCCTTGACGTCCAGCAGTGTGGCCGTGAGAAATTTGTAATTGTCGTTGTTTATCACCGCAGGAGAGATGTGCAACATTTGGTAGAAGAGCGACATGAAGAAACCGAGGCGCAAGCTGTGGATGAGCGACTGCTGCAGCAGGCTGTTCCTCAACATCTGCAACAGCAGGTGGCTCAGGCGAGGGGCAAAAGGGAAGTAACTCTGGAACGGGGTCGAAAGCATCGTCTGCCGCTCGCCGCGGAGCCCCTTGGAGAACTCCGCGAAGGTGACCTTGCGCTGCACGAAGCGGGGCATCTGTGGCTGCAGAGGCGGCGCCCTGTGGATCTCGGCGACCAGCCACGCCAGCCCAAACAGGAGGGGAGGGACGACCAGCCCGACGATGCGCAAGGGCGTCCAGTCCTCCATGCAGCGCAGCACGGGGCAGTCCTGATGCAACCAGATCCACCTGTCGGGAGGGCGCGGAGGTGGGGCAAGGGCAAAGGGAGGGGGCTGGAAGGAACATCGCTCCAGACGGCCCCTGGAAGAAAGAAACGCGTGAAACGGTACAGTCGGGGCGTTGACCTAAGGAACCCTAAACAAGGAACGAGGCCCCCTTTCCTATAAGTTACAATTCGATCTCCCATGGATAACCTCATGAAACCCTCAGGCAAACTGTAGAACAATCAAGGAACACCGAGCCCCTCCCCAACGAAAAGGGTTCCTTGTTCAGCGCCCCGACTGTACCATCTGGCCGGGCCCGCTCCCCAGCCTCATCTTGGGATGACCCCCCCTCCTGGCGCAGGTCTCATGGCCGTGCGGGCCCTCCGAAGAGCCGAGCATCGGCCGACTCGTGGTCTCGCACCAACCGCAGACGTTGTTCATCTCGAGGAGGGTGTGGCGCAGGCAGAAGCACTCCTTGACCCGTGCGCAGAGCTCCCCCTGGACCTGCTCGGAAGCGGTCGGTGACCAAAAGCCCACCACCCGGCCTGGCGTCCTGGGGCCTGAACTGGCGTGCAGCGTAGGATGGCAGTCAGGAAAAACGCAGGGCGGACGATCGCGAGACGAGTTATCTGCCGCTGGGAAAGAGTTTGGAGAGGATGATCATAAAATCTCAGTGGCGACGACGACGCCCACGAGCAGGCCTAAAAACAACGTCATCGATCATCGGCCAAGGCACTGCTGCGTGACGGGCCCCTCGGGCATGTCTTCATCGTCATCCTACATTGCAGAAGCCCATGCCTCTGGATACAAGGTCACGGCCGATGATGGCCCTGTGCAAAGGCTGGTGGTGATGATGGTTGCGCCCGTCTCCGACCTTCCAATAGTCATCGTCATCCGCGACCTCCGGGAGCGGACATAATTGGCAGCGACGATGCCCAACAACAGGAGCTGTCAGAGCGAACAAGCGACTGCTGCTGCGCAGACGAAAGTCGCCTTGGAAACGACAGCGTCCGCCACGAAGCCGACGACGACGACCACGACGACAACGACCGACCGAACGACCGACCGACCGAGCGACCGACCGACCGAGCGACGACGACGACGACGACGACGACGACGACGACGACGACGACGACGACGACGACGACCGACGACGACCGGCGACGGCCGGCGACGACGACGACGGCCGACGACGACCGACGACGACCGACGACGACGACCGACGACGACGACCGACGACGACCGACGACGACGACGACGGCGACGACGACCGACGAGTCCGGCGCCTGGCCCGGCGGCGGCGGCGGCGACGCGCCCGCGTGCCGCGCCTGCAGCGCCAGGAGGGCCGCCGCGAGCGCCGGGGGGCGCCAGCGGGCGCCCGCGGCGGCGGCGGCCCGCGGCATGGCGGCGAGGGGCCGGGCGCTCCCCAGCGAGCGCGCGCGGGCCGCAGAAATGGCAGGCGCCTCCCCGCCTGCCGCCTGCCCCCCCTCCTCCCCACTGCCTCCCTCCTTTCTCCCTGCCCTCCCTCCTCCCCCCCAAAACGGCAGTCCTCCCTCCCTCCCTCCCTCCCGCCTCCCGCCTCCCTCCTGCTCCTCCCCGCTCTCGTGGCTGCTACTACGGCGCCTCCCACCCCCCGCCTCTCCCTCCTCTGCCTCCCTCGCCCCCTGCATCTCAGTCCTTGCTGAGCTGGTCTGGCCTGGATTGGGACGGCCAGGTTTCTGCTGGATTGGGCTGGGCTGGCCAGCCTTCCTCTCCTCTCCTCCTCTCTTGCTCCCTCCGAGTCCTAGCTACTATACGTGGGCTGCCGCGGAGGCGCGAAGCGAATTGCGCTTCCTGTCGCTGAACGCGCAAAGCTGGCAGACCGATTTGCGAGGCAGGGGTGGGCGTGGACGTGTGCGATTGAGCTGGGGTGGGATCTTGCCCTCCTCCCTCCTCCCCCCTCCCTCTCTCCCAGTCTTCGGGTGCTGGGTTGGGCTGGGTCGCTGAGGACGGGGCCTTTGCTTCTCTTCCTCCCTCCTCGATTTCAGACTCTCCTGCTTCTGCTCGGCACGGCCTCCGCTCCGGCATGCCTCCTGCCTTTGGGATGACCGGTCAAGAGGGCGCGTCGGAGATCGCTCGCCCGGGCCTGTCTGCCGCCCCTGCCTCTCCTGCTCTCGACCCGCAGCCACTGTGTCCCAAGCCGCAGTGCGGCTCCACTTCCGCCCCCCCCCCTCCCACCCAGCCATGGGGCCCGATGGCGCCGCGCCCGAGGTCACCCAAAAATTGGAGGCTTGGAAATTGACACCATCACCAACTCAGGGGGTTGCCTCCACCGGGGAAGGATGATCCTAGAATTCGGTGTTGGTGGTAATCTTTCGGCCGCCCAGGAAGCCAGAATATTGCCACCATCACCGAAATGGGGATAGTCTTCCCTCGGTGGAGGCACAACTCCGATCTTGGTGTTGGTGTCAATCTTCGGGGATGGACAGAACCCCCTTTAGCAAAACGTGGTTTAGTGAAAACGACCTCGGGCCCAAATCTGGCGGGCGAAAGCCTGGAACCGGACGGCCACGGCGCCCTCGCGAGAACCGAAAACGGACAGTTCACTACTCGACAAGTCACTGTTGGGGGGTTCTGCCCAGCCCCGAAATCTCTGGGCCCCCGAAAAAAAAAATCCTGGACTTCTGGCTGCAGGAGCGGCCAGCTCTCCGGCGAAGCACCCCAACGGGGGGTTTGGCCCCTGCGAGGCGACGGTCCCGCCGCCGTGCCCGTGCGGCACCGGCCCGTCGCTGCTGCCGGCAGCAGAGCAGCGGGAACGGGCCGCCGCAGCAGCCACGTGGGGCCCAGGGGCCCTGGAAACGACAGGGCCGTTTTTTAGCCGCTTCCGTCTGGCCGTGTTTCGGCCTGCTCCGACGATTTGTGTGCCTGTTCCGTCGCCGTTTCTTGCAAGTGCTAGCTCTGGTCCCAATCCGGGAGCCGTCTTCGTTGCCATTTCCGGTCGCCGTTTGCCTTTGTTTCGGCTTCCATTTTCAAGAGACACGCTCCGGGAAACGGTGAAAAAAACGGCCCTGCCGTTTCCGCGGCCCACTGAGCACTCGGGGCCCCGTCCCAGGCCAGTCCAAGCTATTGCAGGACCCGCACCAGGCGTACGCCTAGGTCGGACATGCCCCCCTACAGGCGGAGTGTAAACGAAAAATTAAACTACTCCCTAAAATGCCCAAACATATTCAATAGATGATCGGACAATCGTTCCCAGACTATCTTTTGAACATTTTTAAAATATTCGACATGCCCGACTTCGACATACGCTGGGCACCAGGGGCTTGGGGCTGGCAACCACAGCTGGCCTCGACCCCGCTTCAAGGCGACTCCACTGTCGGGCGGGACAACGCTCCAGCGGCGGTCGGCACCTGCTTTGGCTTGATGCTGCCCCAGTCGTACTTAGCACCAAATCCCAGAAATGATTTCGAGCACCCCAGAAAAGTATCGAAAAAGTGTCCAGCGAGTCTCGCCTCCAAAGGCCCGACACATCAAAACCCTCCAATCTCGGTACATTCCCGGTGCTCGAACTTCTTCTGGTGATCAAGGCTGCCGCAGGCTGGAACATCACAACGTTGGCTGCGGGGCCACGAGTTGCGAGCTTGTCTGAGGCCAGGCAGCCCACGCCCAAGAGGCTTACTGCCGCGCCTGCTGGGCCCAGCGGGCGGGCGACGCAGGCGGGTGCAGCACCCGAGGCGAAGCCAGAAGTCCTGGACGGCAGCGTGGGCAAGGCTCCGTGGAAAAATCTGCGCGTCATCTCGGCGTGGACAAGCCACGGCACGGCCGCGTTGCCACAGCCCACTCACTGGGGCGCCCCCGGGGGACGAGAAGCAGGGCCAAAGGGGCGCAGGTGGCGGCACAGCCGTGGCTCCTTCGCCTACGGAGTGGCCCCCTCAGGGAGGTTGCCATGCAGGATGCACCTGGCATGCATGGGGCGCTCTTGGGGCCATCTTGGAGGACATCGATCAAAACAGATGGGAGCTTCAATTAGGGTCCCCCCTCGGGAGCCCCAGAAGTCGCCTCTTGGTGAGCTCTTGGGGCGCTCTCGGGGCGCTATTGAGCGCTCTTGGGGCCGTTTCTTTTTGGCCATATTGGGGCCGTCTTGAGGCCTCGGACGGCCATCGGAAGCGAAAA